GAAAGCACCCTTAAGTGCAAGTAGATAAATAGGTACCGCTTTATAGTGGGAAGGTAAACGGCGTTTCCGTGTGCTGCTCTGGTGCAGGCTCGCCAGTTGCAGCTTCGTCACGCTGGCCACGTGACCCAGAAGTGTCTTCAGACAGCGCTGGCCCCTGGCCTCCTAAGCGAGATGGGTGCGCAACCCCAGAGTCGGTCACGACTGGCCCGTACGGGCAGGGGTATCTTTACCTTTACCTTACACATTATTTATCCTGCCAACCTAGCAGTTCAAAAGCACGTCAGAGTGCAAGTAGATAAATAGGTACCGCTCTGGCGGGAAGGTAAACGGCATTTCCGTGCGCTGCTCTGGTTTGCCAGAAGCGGCTTAGTCATGCTGGCCACATGACCCGGAAGCTGTACGCTGGCTCCCTCGGCCAATAAAGCGAGATGAGCGCCGCAACCCCAGAGTCGGCCACGACTGGACCTAATGGTCAGGGGTCCCTTTACCTTTACCCTTTACACATTATTTAGTTGGGAAGCTGCACCACAAAATTCAGAGAAGTGTGGATTTTAAAGGATAGCTTGGATTGGGCCGATGTTTGTTTCAAAATGTGCGAATTATGTAGGTTTCGTTAAAATTCTGAATCGAATTCCTCTCCCATCCCTAATATGGGAGTCACCTTGTGCGGTGGGGTGTGGGACCATATTTGCTTCTCTGTTTTTATCCCCCACTGGTACAAATGCAAGGCTGTGGATGAAAATGTTCTCAAGGCTGCCTTACATTAGCGCTGCCCCTTTGATGCTTCTCTGGTGAGCTATTTTGTGTACTTTGTCTCACCCCCAAGCAGATCAGCCCCCACCACGATATGTCTCCACTCTGCCCTTGTTATATCAGGCCTACACAACTTGTGATCCATCAAGCAGTCCACAAGCCACCCATGATGTCCTAACAGATGCTTGATAAAAAGTTGTGTAGGCCTGTTACATTTTTATTTTTTATTGTTGCTGTTGCCCAGAACTGAAAATAACAGTGGAGGTGTAAATGTCAAGCCCTTGGCAAGGCACTATAAATGGCTGGTTGAGTAAAGTTCAGCTTGATGGGTTACACAAGTTGTGTTTCAGGAGTGTGGTGATGCTGAAACCAAGATAACGCTGAGCTTACCCTACCGAACAGACTTTCATCCATAGTTTGCTCGGCTTCTTCACATTTGTCTTGCAACGCTAACCATTTGTTAATACAGATTTACGCAGGGAATAATTTGCCGCATCCATCTATGCTGGCGTCGTGAAGTGACACAGCGAAGAACGTGCATTTTAGCGAATGCTTATTCTAGTAGATGAATCTAGATTGCCCCCCTGGATACACTAGAAAACATGATTTCCATTAAAACCAAAAACAGTAATTACTGCTCTAAAAGGTGGGTTTCCCTCCTTTTAAAAATGTTACTTGTCAGGAAAATGGGTTTTCTGTCCATTAGCTCACAGCTTGCAGATGCTGCCACATTAAATCAAATGTCTTCTTGAAATAGTCCTTTTAATGCAACCTCCCCACAGGAAACTTTTCATGTGGTGTCTGATTGAAACTGCAAATGTTAATGTCCCAAGTATAGCCCTGCCTGGTACTGTCAGTTCTGATCTTTCTCCCTTCCCCTTGTACTTTCCAAAGTTTTTCCTCAAGGCAGGGCACTATTAATTGATTGTACTTAACGTTCCACCTTTCTTCTGTGGAACTGAGGGCAACTTGCATAGCATTCCCCAAAAGGCCTGTGTTGCTTTTGCATGTTTTCATCCATGAATCAATTTTCCCCCGTTTCTGAATTAATCTGCACCTTTGGGGGAGGGAAACAAACAAACCCTGCACATATTTAATTATGCATTTCTCCTCGCAAAATTATTTTAAACTGTATTTTGATACATTGAGCTGAGAACTATACTGTAAAATTTAGAGAAATCAGAAATCTGAATGTATGCGTTCTGATCTGTGCGTCCAGGAGAGGTGCACTGAGTTCATGTCTGAATTTGTGCAAGTCTGAATTGGCAGAGAGTGAATTCCTGAACTCCTTACTTATTAGGCAGAGTATGATTGGGCTGTTTCCTTATGTTGGAGGACTGATGTTTGTGTGTCATGCAGCCTTCCTGAGCCCTTTAAGCTGATCGGCTGCCCTCAGGTACAGTGGGAGATGCCATCTTGTCACACTGAAGATTCAGTTTCCAGTTCAGTTGGCTTCGTTATGTGGAAAGCACCATCATTCTTCAGCTCAGGCAACAGAATACAATAAAATAAATAAATAAGGCAACAAATTGTCTTGAACTGACCCTATTCCTCAAGCATCTCGATATTCAGTCAGTGTTCCAAGCCCTGTATGCACTAAACCACTTTAATAGACTTGGCTTCCCCCTAAGAATTCTGGGGACGGTGAGAGTTGTTAGGATATTCCTATTCCCCTCACAGAGCTTCAGTTTCCAGAGTGGTTTAACAATCATTCCCTCTTCTCACAGAACACTGGGAGTTTTAGCTCTGTGAGGAGTGATAGGGGTCTCCTAACAACTCACAGCGCCCTTAACAAACTACAGTTCCCAGAATCCTTTAGGGGAAATCACGACTACGTAAGTGGTATGATATTGCTTTAAATGCATAGTGGAGATGGGCTGGAAACAGACCTGCTGCTTTCAGCATGATTGTATCATGTGCTGGGGCAACTACCTGTATTGATTTCAAAAATCTTCAGCATGGATGTTCCATAATGAACTACACTGGATTCAATTCGGCTCTGCCCCAAGACAAAGTCACTGTTTAGACATGGTCTAAACATGTTCTCAAAGCAGTCTAGCTCTCAGACCTTGAAGCCGAGAAATAAAATTGACTGTCATCTCTTTGGACCCATAAAAAATTATCAGCATGCATCCTGTATTGTCTAATGGATGTATCTGAAGAAATACTCTGTCTTTCTTGAAACGTTTTTATGCAGAGTTGCATCCAGTTACTGAGTTTCCTCTGAAATAAATGGACGACTAGCTTGACTTCAAACTTTTCCCATTGATTTCAGTGGGAACTAAGTACCACTAACTTAGAATCATAGAATCTTAGAGTTGGAAGGGACCCAAGGGTCATCTAGTCCAACCCCCTGCAATGCAGGAATCTCAGCTAAAGCATCCATGACAGATGGCCATCCAACCTCTGTTTAAAAACTTCCAAGGAAGCAGAGTCCATCACCTCTCGTGGGAGTCTGTTCCACTGCCGAACAGCTCCTACTGTCAGAAAGTTTTTCTGAATGTTTAGCCGGAATCTCCTTTCTTATAATTTGAAGCCATTGGTTTGGGTCCTGTCCTCCAGAGCAGGAGAAAACAAGCGTGCTCCCTCCTCTATGTGACAGCCCTTAAAATATTTGAAGATGGGTGTTATGTCTCCTCTCAGTCTCCTCTTTTCCAGGCTAAACATACCCAGCTCCTTCAAGCGTTTCTCATAAGGCTTGGCTTCCAGACTCTTAATCATCTTGGTTGCCCTCCTCTGCACACGTTCCAGCTTGTCAACATCCTTCTTAAATTGTGGCACCCAGAACTGGACACAGTATTCCAGGTGTGGTCTGACCAAGGCAGACTAGAGCGGGACTATTACTTCTCTCGGGGGTGACGCTGTGGTCTAAACCACTGAGCCTCTTGGGCTTGCGAATCAGAAGGTTGGCGGTTCGAATCCCCACAACAGGGTGAGCTCCCGTTGCTCAATCCCAGCTCCTGCCAACCTAGCAGTTCGAAAGCACGCCAAAAAGTGCAAGTCGATAAATAGGTACCACTCCGGCGGGAAGGTAAATGGTGCTTCCATGCGCTGCTCTTGTTTCGGTGTCCTGTTGCACCAGAAGCGGCTTAGTCAGGCTGGCCACATGACCCGGAAAAACTGCAGACAAATGCTGGCTCCCTCGGCCTGTAAAGCAAGATGAGCACCGCAACCCCAGAGTCGTTTGCGACTGGACTTAACTGTCAGGGGTCCTTTACCTTTTTATTACTTCCCTTGATCTGGACACTATTCTTCTGTTGACCTAAGTCAGAGTATCTGAAAATATAGCATTATGTGAATGGATAAAAGCAGGTAAATCATTTTAGAGTCCAGCACTCCACTGATAATAATAATAATAATATTGGTCATTGCCTTTGCAATGCATTGGGAGCTACATGGATTCCTAGACTGTGCAGGCACATGTATAGACATGCACAGGAAGTAGGAAGTCAATGAACCAGATTTTCCTATATAATTGGCAAATGAATTGTAACATACGTCGCAAGATTTTATGCTCTGCTGGAAGCAGTTCTTGTTGAAATCCATCTTAATTTTTTTCTAATGTCTTCAAACAATGCAAAAAATCTATTATACAGTTTATCGAAGCTTACAGGCTATGGATCGTTAGGAGGCATTCATAAAAGCTGCTGTGTCCTAGAAAGGGCTCCTGCTAGGTACTGCATTTTTCCATTTGAAAGTCGCAGTCTATGCTCTGAGAATTTATTATCAAAGATAAGAACCTGGGTTAGACCAGAATATGGGCATTGTGTAAATGTAAAATTAGCCATCATGACATCAGAGTTCTTTATCAGCCAAGGATGGCATCCCCCTTCCTATGAGTCATGGAATACAATAGAAAAGGGCTTCTGAAAATGTGCTCCATCATCAAAAGTTCTTTATCTTTGTCTGACTGTTCCTCTGCCGTTGTTCAAGTGCAAATGTGCATTTGTGGGAATCACAGGAAGCTCTCTAATTTTAAATGGCTTAAGAGCTTGGCTACATGTAGAGATACTCCTGGATTATGTTCGGCCTGCATTTTTAAGCTAACCAACCAGATTCACACCTACTGGACCAGGCATAGGCAAACTTGGCCCTTCAGATGTTTTGGGACTACAACTCCCATCATCCCTGACCACTGGTCCTGTTAGCTAGGGATGATGGGAGTTGCAGTCCCAAAAAATCTGGAGGGCTGAGTTTCCCTATGCCTGTACTAGACTAATAAGTAGAATGGAAAGCACTTATCCATTGGTTGGATATTTCAGTCGGTAGAACATTAGACTCTTAATCTCCGGGTCGTGGGTTTGAGCCCCATGTCGAGTGATTCCTGCATTGCAGGGGGTTGGACTAGATGACCCTTAAATAGCACTTGAGATTGTCCCCTGGGGCACCCCATAGGATAGTTGCCAGGGGGCTGAAAGGCACTTTTCCAATGCTACGCTTGGGACTCAGTCCTGAAGGTAGGATTCATACCACTGTAATACAGAGCCCCAATTCCCATTCTCTGGAGCTAGTATAGGAGGATATCATGGTTTGTTCGTTTTTTTGTTTTTGTTTTTGTTTATTAAAGATTTTCTTGTTTTACAGAGGTAAGTGTAATATCTCTCGTATTTTTTCCGTGTAACATTTTTACAAATCCATTTCATTTGTTGAGACATTAGGGGGAAGGGGGTGGAGGGAGGGAAGATGGGTGGGGGTGGGGTCGGGTGGCGATGTTTCTTTTATGCTTAATGTATATAGGGTTTGGTGCCAGCATTGCTTGTGCTGTTCACTTGTGTTCCTTTGGTGGTGAGAGAGGTTGGGGTTGGCCTAAGGTGTGGTTGTTTCTTTGTGATTGGCTGTGGTGATCTTTGTTTTCGTGTGTGAGTGGGGTGGGTGGGTGTTTTGGATCAGGTTAGCCATATTGATTTGTATGCTGTTGGTGGATTGTTGTCACTGTCTTGTTGGGCTGTGTATGTGATAAAGGGGAGCCATACCGGTGTGAAGGCGTCTTCTTCTGTTTGTCCCCGTGTCAGTTTCAGTTTATTGGTTAATTTTTCTAGTAGGGCTGTTTCCCATACTATTTGGTATGGCTGAGAGTATAAAATGCTATTGAGAAATCAAGAAGCAGGAACAAGGGTGCAGAGAACTCTGCAAAGGTTGTCCATCAGGGCAACCAAGGGCAACTCAGTTCTATGGCCAGGCCTGGTTTATCCTTTGGTCAATTGTAGAGCACAAGTTTTTACAAGTGACAGGTCTGATGCAATTGGTTCAAAAGGCATCTGCATGAGACTTTGGAAAGGTGCTGCAGTATTGGGCTAGATGGATGAGCAGCCTGACCCAGAATGAGACAGCTTCCTATGGTCCAGCTAAATGGATTTTGGATAGGAAGCCTAGGAAAGGCCTCCAATGAGATACTGGAGAGCAATGGCCTATCAGAGAAGACAGCACTAGGCTAGATTAATCAATGTTTGAGGGGGGTGGGATAGACAGTCGTGTATTTATATGCTGACTGACCCCATTTTCCCTCAGTGGTGCTTAAAATTTAAATGGTAGATAAGTGCTCTGGATGAAATGGTTTGTCAAAGCACAAAGCTCCTTGTATTAGGCATCTGAAATATTTCACCTAATGCATAAATACCATCCTACCTGTGCTGTTTGAGAGTGTGAGCTGTTTGTTGCTGTGAGTAGAGAAGTGTACAGGTTATATATAAATATGGGGGGTAGGATTCAGAGAAACATGAATTTATTCTTGGTTTGAAATATATTGAAAGTATATCCTTTGCTGCTGTACAGGAAGGGAGTCATACAAAATATGTTTCTGGCTTAAACTAGACAGAAGGTGGAATCTGAGCTGGAGATTTTATCATTTTATCATTTCTCAAATAATCACATTTGGGGTTACCACCTTATTTTACTGCTCCTAATCCTGTGCTTTCAACCATCAACAGCTGCTTCTAGCATGGCAAAACTTCCATTTTTGTGTCCTGATCTGCTCTTAAAGGTGCAGGAAGAGGGTTGGTCTTTTAAAAAAGGGAAAGGAAGGAAAGTGGCATCACTTTAAGCCGTTGCCTAAAAATACACTTTGGTTTTATTAGCAAGAGACCACTGAAAGTGTTAATTTTTCTTAGTGTTGCCTTTTAGAGTGGGCCTTCAAGCAAGGAGTTGTTACATGTCCAAAGACTTTCCACATATAAATTTCTTTGTCTAATTCTCAGTCTTTTTCTAAAACTGTGAATATTTATTGGACTATTATCTCTTTTACAAGAGTGGGGGGAATTAAGCTGGTTGGTTTTTAATGAATGCCAAATATTAAAGTAATTGTCCCTTTATCAGCTTGCAGCTTTTCCTTGTTTCTCAATTTAATGCATTGTATTCTTCAAGTAGCCTAATCAACCACTTGAATAGATGGAAATGAATTTTGCAGAGATACAGAAATATTGGGTTCTTTTAGGCCAGAGGTCCCCTGGCAGTGTTCTTAAAACACACACACACACACACACACACACACACACACACACTGTTCCACTTGCATTATTAAAGACTGATTTCACTTTCTGACGATTTCTCTCTGAATTTCCTGCTCTTGTAATTAGATTATCCGTTTGGAAGTCTAGAGCCTCGGTTCTTATTTTTTTTAAGGGATGCGCACATAGCAATGTTGTTGAGACAGGTGGGCTGTATTTTTCCAGCAATCAACAGATGAAAGATTCTCCCATCTCTGAAAAACCAAAAAATATTATAAATGCAAAGATAATACAGGCAGTGACCATGCTAAAGGTAAAGGGACCCCTGATCATTAGGTCCAGTCGTGACCAACTCTGGCGTTGCGGCGCTCACCTTGCGAGGGAGCTGGCGTACAGCTTCCGGGTCATGTGGCCATCATGACTAAGCCGCTTCTGGCGGACCAGAGCAGCGCACGGAAACGCCGTTTACCTCCTTGCCGGAGTGGTACCTATTTATCTACTTGCACTTTGACGTGCTTTCGAACTGCTAGGTTGGCAGGAGCAGGGACCGAGCAACAGGAACTTATTAAGGGTGCTGAAAGTTGTTAGGATACCCTTGTTCTCATCAAAGAGCTACAATTGCCAGAGTTCCCTGGGGAGAGATATTACCTGTTAAACCACGCTGGGAATTGTAGCTCAGTGAAGAGAATGAAGTCTCCTAACAACTGTCAGCACCCTTAACATTCTACAACTCCCAGAACAGGGGGAAGCCTTGACTGTGTAAAGTGGTATCATGATGCTTTAAATGTATAATGCATATTGGGTCCAAATTCTAGATAAGGAAGTGGTCTTGTGGACACAGACTGCTTGGGCTGCTTTCAAACAGGATATTAGAAGTTTGTTCTTGCCTGTAAGTTTGGTAGCTGAGAGTCCTACTTTACTGAGGACAAGCCTCTATTTGAAGGCTTACTCTCTATGAATGCCTGATCCAAGTATGTTTTAAAGATAATAAGGAATGGCAGGGACTCTGAAATTTCCCATCAAAAATTAGCAATTGGATTTCCAACTGAGCACACGCTTCCCTTTATTTATTTATTTATTTATTTATTTACAGTGGTACCTCAGGTTACATACGCTTCAGGTTACATACGCTTCAGGATACAGACTCCGCTAACCCAGAAATAGTACGTTGGGTTAAGAACTTTGCTACAGGATGAGAACAGAAATCGTGCTCCAGCGGCACGGCGGCAGCAGGAGGCCCCATTAGCTAAAGTGGTGCTTCAGGTTAAGAGCAGTTTCAGGTTAAGAACGGACCTCCGGAACGAATTAAGTGCTTAACCCGAGGTACCACTGTATTTGGATGCGGGTGGTGCTGTGGGTTAAGCCTAGGACTTGCCCATCAGAAGGTCGGCGGTTCGAATCCCTGCGACAGGGTGAGCTCCCATTGCTTGGTCCCTGCTCCTGCCAACCTAGCAGTTCGAAAGCACGTCAGAGTGCAAGTAGATAAATAGGTACCACTCCGGCGGGAAGGTAAACGGCGTTTCCGTGCGCTGCTCTGGTTCGCCAGAAGTGGCTTAGTCTTGCTGGCCACATGACCTGGAAGCTGTACGCCAGCTCCCTTGGCCAATAAAGCGAGATTAGCGCCGCAACCCCAGAGTCGTCCGCGACTGGACCTAATGGTGAAGGGTCCCTTTACCTTTACCTTTACCTTTACCTTTACCACTGTATTTGCTTAAATAATTTACAGGCCACTTTCTACCTGGAGAGCATCATGTTGGCTTCTCCTGGATTAGTGATTGTACAGGAGCTGCATAATATTGTCCACCTAGTCACAAGGACATAAAAATAGTGCTCCTGGTTCAGGCCGATGGCCCATCTACTCCGGCATTCTGTTTTCACAGTGGCATGTGGGAAACCTGAAAGCAGGATTGAAACGAAGCCGAGTATTTGCGGGCGGACCGAAGCCCCTTAATTTTGGTTTCCATCTCAGAACCCTTTTGTTATTCAACAGAGGATGTTTATTCAGTTAGATGTACTTTCCCAACCCATCTGAAATACTTGGGGGAGAGGCATTTGAAATCCCATTTGCCTTATGAGGAATAAAAGAAATCCTAAAACCAATACTAAATTAATTTGGAATGCATTCAGACCCATTACAGGAGGCACTTTTGAAATATTTTCACAATGGCGGAAACATTAATAAGTGTATTTTTTCTGCAATGTACCCCCTTTAGGGATCTCTCTGGGCACATTTTCAATTTATGGTCACAAAAGCGGTTTGGGAAGAGAAATGCTAGGGAAATACTTGTGAATGCCTTCAGGGCATGACTAGAGTAACAAAATTTCTTTGTCAATATTGGCAACCAAAGGAATAGATAGCAATCTCACTTTTGAGGAGTAGCTGTGCTGCAGAGAGTTGCCCATCTGTTGCAGCAACAATAACAGTCCTATGGCACCTGAAAGACAATTGTATTACTGTATATTTTATATGTTTTGAGGACCAGTGTAAAATGTGGAAATATAGGCTGTTAAACTTTTAAAATATCCCATTCTAAGTTGCTTCCAAAGTTTCCTACTTCCATTAGCATAGAAATAGACTATGCATTTGATAAGTTAAAAATTGTTTACTTACAAACGCTCCAAAGGTCAGATTTATGTGCTTTTCCATACAGCAGCAAGAAAAGACAGGCAGTACATCTTACTTTCAAAAATGATTTCTAAATTATCTGTATAGAAACACGAAGATGGTTTGCTAAATTTACATGGTCTAAGCTTGGAGCATCCAGTTTAGACATCCTTACTGATAGGGTTCACTCGTTGGAACTGTGGAACGTGGGAGAACAAAGAGTTTGGTAGCAATGTGAGCGGGAGTGACCTAGCTAAGCCTAGCAGGATAGC